CTCGCAAGTTTAGGCATTACAGTTTTTTTTGCCACTCGCCGCCTCCTGCTCGGGCCTCGTGCATGTGCAAGTGCTGCCGCCTGACAAAGCCCGTTTGGCGTTCAGTGAGCCTTTTGTCAGCTGGGACACCAGATGATGCGGCCAGAGGTATTTCAGGGCTGTGTTGCCCGCATTGTTGCTGTGGCTGTGGCTGTGGCAGTTGGCCTCTTTTTCGCATTAGCCCGACTCGGATTCCCCGACTCGTGCAACTGGTTGCATGAGGCCATTCGCTGGCCGCGCTTCATTTGCAGCTTCCTGTTAAATATTTCAAGTGCATGCCATAACACATCCACAGAAATTCGATGTGCATCGCTTAATAGTTTCAAACACGCCGCAGCACAGCAGCAGGGGCCGGCGGGCGTGCAGTGGGCGTGGCTGTTGAATAAACAACACACAGCGCACAGCGCAAGCAGCCGCAATGCGTTTTTGATTATTTTAGCCACGCACCGCTGTCACAGTTGTTGTTTTAATAGCCGTAAGCCACAGAGCTTTACCACAACACCGGCCCGCTGCACCGCTACCTGTGCCGAGTTAATCATGAATGCCAAATATTTACCCATTTCGTTTCAAATGCTTTTTGTTCGCCAACTCAATTGGAAAATTATCAAAATTTCGTAATATCCATTCAATTTTGATAACATCGAAAGTGCACAACAATCGAATTATATTTTACGGCTGAATTGAGAGCCCTTGCCTCTACCACGCCTCTACCCCGCCGGCATCGCATTACTGTCCGCGGCTTTTGATTTGCAAATCTGATTTGAATTATGTGCTCAAATCAGTGCGAAAGTGTTATTGTCATAGTTGGGGCATTAACTAATTGCGATCGCGGCACTTTACGGCATAGCTCTACTCATGGGGTGGAGTGGTTCCATTGAGGGGTATATTATAGGAAATCGGGTAGAATAATTGGTGTATAAGTATAAGATAGGGCATTCCAGATATAGATTTATAATTACGCCCAGTTTTCATCTACTTGTTTATACATTTATTTGTCTATTTATTTTCCATTATTTATTTTATTATTTATTTTTAATTCTTTATATTACCTCAACCTATCCCTTTGTTTGGTTGTCTGGCTTTCTGTTAAGCCGAGCCTCTGTCAGTTTTT